GCGCCCCCCGCACCCCGCTTCGGGGGGCCGCACTGCGGGCGGCGGGGGCGTTTGCCCTGGAGGGAAGCAGCGCCTCCCGTTTTCTGGGGGTGCCCGTGTGCGCACACGAGTTGTTCCCCTCGCTGTTACGCCAGGACGGCGCTTAGGCTTGGCTTAAACATCGCCGAGGAATTTACCCCTTCCCTCGGCAAAGCTGTTCCAATGGTAAATAATACCCTCGTGTGGAAGTTTTACTCATTTAATTCCAACACCAGTTGGACTTTCAGAGCCGCTGAGAAAATACCAAGGAGCAAGAAGCCAGCAACGACCTCCAGCAAACGCTTTGCTTCCTCAGGACCAAAATCAAACGTTGTTCTTTCAAGTAAGAGTTGCACCTGAAGCCCCTCACAGCTGCAAGGTGACCCTTAATCCATGGAAGATACCAAAGGACACCCAGAGCTCTTCCTTCAGATAGAGGCTGCACACGGGGAGACGGGGGGGTACCAGGCCAGGTAACGCCACCCGCTCCCTGGTTTGCCAGCGCTCACCCCTTCTCCTCCGCACCTGAAAAGGGCTTCTGTGGCCCAAAGCCCATCTTTCCTCGCCCCAGCCACTCTGTTTGGTCCAACAGACGGTGCTGCACCCCTTTATTCACCTTGTACCAGTCTAAACAGTCGCTCATCCCCGCTCCTCCATCCCTCCCCCGGCACAGAGCGAAATAAAGCTCTCCAAACTGTCCATCTTCTAAATGATAAATGTTCCAAGTAATTTTTATTTAGAATACAAGAGAGAGGTACAAATGTATTTACACTGTGTACATATACAATCAAATAATATATAATATCAAAGTTCTGTAAATAATGTTTACATAAATATTTACAAAGTTAAAGTGACAGTTGTTTGTTTTTTGTTTTTTTTTCTGGAAGTAAAACACAGTTTGTGAGAACTTTATACATCTTAGACTTATAATTAATATTAGAATACCTTCTTTTAAGCTTTATGATACACAGCCCTCCTCTGGCATGTGGCAGGACTCCAGAGGGCGCTTAGAGTTGTCCTTGGGGACAGAGCTGGCCCAGGGACGGGTTTTCTCTGTCCCCAGCAGGCAGCAGAATTAGCAGCCGAAATGTTCCCTCACGGCTGCGGGGAGCGATGGGGAGCGATGAGGAGCGATGATGCTCCCCGGGCTGGAGCAGGCACAGCCTGGCAGAGCACAGGGTCCCCTACAAAACCTGCCTGTGGATGGGCATTTCCAGCCGGCACGTCGTGCTGGGGGTGTCCCTGTGGCACAGGGCCTGTCCCCTCTGCCCGTGGCATCGCTCGGAGGTGTCGGGCAAACCCCAACGCGTGGCTCGGGCTGGAGGAGGGCAGGCAAGGGGATTTTGGGGGGGAAATGCAACCGTTTGCTAAATCAGGGCTCCCGAGGAGGGAAATGTGTCCCTTGGAAAGAGCCACCAGGGCCAAAGCTGCCCCAGGGGTAAACGGGCATGAATGGAGGTGGCCGCAACAGGGCTGTGCCAGCCTTTCAACGGGGCGCATGTGCCTGCTGGACACTCGCTGGAGCGCAGAAGGAAGGATAAGAGCAATTTTTCTTTCCATCAAATTATCTGTAAAACCCAGGCGCGACTCATCCAGGCCCAGCTTTTAGGCTGCCCCAGCCCTCGCCCAGTGCACCAGCAAATCCACGCAGGACGTCCTGCCGCGTCCCCTCGCTCCTCTCCCCCTGCCAGCCCCGGGGACCAGCAGCACACCCTGCACCGCATCTCCCCGGGGAGGATCCCCCACGATGCGGCTGCGGCTTGCAGAGCTGGGGGGGTCCCCTCGCTCACTGAACAGCCTGCCAACCCCCGATGCTCCAAAAATAAACCAGCACATCCCCTTCAACGCTGAAAGCAGCCCTGCCTCTGCCCCCCAGCTCTGCCAAGGGCCAACACCCCCCAGTTCATCGCATGTCTCAGCGCCAGTCTTTGCTGTCCGAAAACCTGCTGCCGCGCCAGGGCTTCACAGCACCATGGTGGGGATGTGATGGGCCAGGGAGGCGGGATGGGGCACGGGCAGAGCCGGCGAGTGAGCCTGCAGGGAGGCGTTGGGGGGCCGATGACGGGCGCTTTTCTGGTGTGCCCGCAGCCCAGCGAGCTGGGAGTAGGCACTTTGGCAAACCTGGCACTTGTAGGGACGCTCGCCGGTGTGCAAGCGGACGTGGTTGCGGAGGGTGGAGGACTGGCTGAAGCGACGGTTGCAGAAGCGGCACACGAAGGGCTTGTCCAGGGTGTGGATGCGCATGTGGGAGCGCAGGTTGCTGCGGGAGTTGAAGCCGCGGTGGCAGATGACGCAGCGCATGCGTCCCGTTGTGCTGGCCCCCGTCTCCACCGCGTGGAAATCCTCTGGGGACAACAGGGGACGGTCAGGCACTGCCCTCCGGCACAGCAGCTCACCCCCAAGCCCCCAAGATGCCGACTGTCCTAAATAACCACCCCATGGCCCCATGCTGGCTCCTCTGCCCGCTGAGGATGCCCATGAGCAGAGACCCCCATCCCGGGCAGAGCGGGGCTGCAGGCTGGCACTTTGGGCTTTGGGACGGGGCCAGAGTTGGGAACGGGCTCACCCAAATATAGGTGAGGGGGAAAACTCAAGCTGACCTGTCTCCCCCGTAGACGGGCACAAAAAGCGCTTTTCTCCTCCCCAGGCTGCAAGTAGAGCTGGAGCGAGTGAGCGCAGGAACCCCCAGCCCACGGCCGCGCTGCCCTGGCCTCCAGCCTGGGCCCTTCGGCAGCAGCACGCCGTCCCTGCGTTGGTCCCGGCTTCTCCCCCTGCTCCACCGGGCTCCGGCCCAGCTCTTTCGGAGCAAGGAGCGGGGCTGGGGAGCACAGATGGGGTCTGGCTCTGAACACAGCATCCCCTAAAAGTGCCCGAGAGCTCTGGTGCCTGCCCACAGAGGAGCACCTCGAGGAACGACCATTCAAGCAGAGAGCAAAAGCTCCGGGAGAGAAAAGCCTCCTGCGATGGTGATTTGGGGAAAGATCTGTTAAATACAGAGTGGGGACATAGGCAGCTGCATCCACTCAGCGTTTCGCAGTGCATTGGGGCTGCTTTCCTCCCGCTCACACGTCTGCCCTGCTCCTCCCTGCCCGGCTGGGTCAGGCAGCGACTGCTGGCCACCACACCAGCAATAGCCGTGGGCAAACCAGCCCGGAGGCCACCCCTCAGATTACTGAGGACCTGCTCAGGCTGTATGGATCTGCCTCATAGTCTGTGTGTTTCTCCCCAGAGAGCTGGGGGATCTGACATATCCCCTGGGGTTTCCCTGCCCCATGCCCACTACAGGGCCTCAGGGCTGGGGACAGGGTGAACGGAGAACGGGCAGAGATGCTGCACCCACGGCTGTTTCCGTTGTTACCTACCATGTTTGTTCTTCTTCTGCTCCTCTTCCAGCCCTGGCACACCCGGGATGCCCAGGAAGGTGTTGTGGGAGTTCCCGTACCAGACCAGCAGCTCTTGGTCTGGAGGAATCATCTAAAAAGAGAGATACAGAAAGGGGTGTCAGCAGGGGACGGTGAATGGCTCCCTGTGCATCCTCCGCCAGTCACTTCAGACCTGCACTGGCCATACCCCATCTCCTGCCAGACCCTGCTGCCGTCTGGGACCTGCCAGCGGTCCCCAGCACCCCCCAGGCAGGCACAGCACAGCCCAGGCTGCAGTGCTGGAGGCAATGGCACGGCTCAGCACCATCCACCACCAGCACAAACCGGCACCGGGGTCTCCCCCAGGCTGGGCCACAAATGTGACAGGCAAATAAGCAGCTACAGAGCACACAGACAGAGCTGGGGCCTCTGGAGTGACGGACCCAGAGGTCCCTGCAGCTCAGGGAGACAAGGACACGGAGGCACACGGAGAAATAAGCCATTTGTGGACTCAGGAACTGCAGCAAGGCACAAGGGACAGAGACCAAAGCAGGGAGCCATGACACAGAGCCCTGGCTCAGTGCTCCTGCAGAGCGTTTCGGCTCTGGACGGAGCCGTTGGCACCCTCCTGCTGTAGGGCACAGGCAGCATCTCCCACCCAGCCCCGCCGGGGCTTATTTTAGCAGGTGGAAATGCAGATGCACCCGTGCAGGACTCGCCAGCCCGGGGATCAGAGGAGAGCTCGGGTGCTGCTATAGGAGAGCATGGCTCGGGTGCAAGATGCTGCCTACATCCCAGACCAAAGCCCCGGTGCCTGCAACAGCCCAAGGAGATCTATAGGGCCAGGAAAGGGCTCTGCACTACCCCTGCCCCTGTTTCCCTGAAACGATGGCACTTCTTCTTCCCCTGTTGTTCCCATTATGTTCCTGCTCTGCCGGGGCGGCCGGAGCGAGCAGCCTGGGAACGCCGTTCAAGCCACCCCACGTGAAGCAGCCGTGGCTGGGAGGATGGATGCTCTCACACCGGAGCAGCTGCTTCAGGCAACACTGATAACAACATCACTTAATAAAAAAAATACACATATTTTTCCCTTGCAGGTCCCTAGTGTTAAGAACCTAATTTAGAAATGGGAAAGTCCCCCATTTCAGAGGACAGCTTTCCATACCCAGAGTAGTCCAAGAAAAGCATCATCCGCATGAAACACAGATCTTAAGTTAGATCACGTAAGCACTGAAAATGTACCTAATTTTAAGCACCTGAAAGCAGTGGGAATTTGGCTTCATATGTTTAAGTGTCCGTCTGGGGCTGCAGAGTAGGAATTTGGGAGGGAGGCAGGAGAAGCTGATATCATTTCTCATCCCAAACTGGTGCTGTTTCTTGGTGTCATTTTCTCTTAACAGAAAATGAGTTATTTTTAATACAAGCAAATAGAATAAAATATTGCCAAAAGGATAAAACACATTGCACGTGTGCATGCATGTCTATATTCTGCTGGAGCTGGTGTACATATGCCAGCAGCGGGTGAGCACCCACGTGCATGCACCCCAAAGCAATTTAAATTGCCCCCCCCCAGGAATCTCATGGCCTTCAGATCAAAGGCCAAAACTCACTGCCCTCACTTTATTTTCCAGCAGCGGCAACCTGAAATTGCTGAGGAAGAGGACGGGGAAAAAAAAAAAAAAAAAACAAACTAGCAAGTAAGGGCAGGAACGGGCAAAGCATGTAAAAATATTAAGGCAAATAGTGAAAAAGGCACCCACTAAATCTGATTTTGTCGTGGGTAAGTGAGAAAGGCATCCTAAGAAAAGCATCCTCAGGGATATTGTGCTGGAGTCGCGGTGCAGCAGAGGTGGGTGCAGAGCGACGGGAGCCAGGCAGCTCTCGGTGCCCGCCGGGGAGGGGATGCTGCGGGCGGAGGCAGGAGGCTGCGGAGGGGATGGAGGGTGACAGCACCCGTGCATGGACGCACGTGCTGCTGAGAGCGGGCGCCGCTAAGATCCGATCGGTGTTTGCGTATCCTGATGCTGCGCTCTCCGTCCAAGGGTTTGTGGTGAGGGAGGCAACAAGGCAGGAGCGTGGGTAACAAGCGGGGAGCTCGCATGGGTCGGAGATGCTGCGTTTGTGTGCCCACGACTCCACGCTAGGGGATTAGCAAGCGGAGAGAGAGACCCACAAAAGGAAAATCTTTTCTTGCTTTTCCTTTTCTTGTTGGGTGCAAACCCCAGTGAGTTTGAACAAGAGATGGATTTTGGACTGCAGGCGTGCATGCACACGTGCCTGCAGGCGTGTTGCACAGGCGGGAACGGGAAGCCCAGGAAAGACGCAGATCCTTGACTTGTCGCGCCCGGTTGTGACCCAGCTCCTCACACACTCCATGCTTCCCTTCCCTTCACATGGAAAGCCCCGGCCCCTTCTGCTCCTCTGGCACGGAGGGACCCATGCCGACCCGGTGGCAGCAGGAGCAGCAGCACCGCCGGGCGCCTGCCGTGCCCGGGAGCACGCCGCAGTGTGACAGCACGCACCCTTCCTCACCACTTTCACCTCCCCATCACCCAGGCCTCAGCACTCTCAACATTTCAACTTTGCTGCTTGTGCTGAGGGAATTAAACTCATCCTGCTCTGGCACTCGGTGCTTCAGCCCCGGGAGCAAGCCTGCAGATTGACTGCGACGGTACGGGGCCTCTACATGCACCTCCCCAAATATCGGCTCACCTGCCCCATCGTCCATGCACGCACAAGGTGTGAGAAACATGGCTGTATTCCTAATTACACCATGGCTACCTGGAATTATTTTACTTCTTTGTATAATTTAAGAGCAGTAATAAAAAGCAATTAAGCTGCTGTCACAACAGGCACAGCTGCCCACAAGAATATCGGGTCTTAAAACCAGGTACGGCTGAAGCCTATGGAGGGGTGTCCAGGATGGGGAGAGCAGCACAGAAGCACTTGGGGCTCTTGCAGCGCTGCACGGGGAAAGGCGGCAGAGCCCTGAGGTGGCACACAGGACCCTCCCGCAGCAGAAAATACCTGTTCTCTTCTTACCCACCCACTCGCCTTTCCCATCCCGCTGCGGCCATCCTAAACCCAGCCCCAATGCTGGCTCAGTGCAGGATTGAGCCGTGGTCCTGTGCCATGGAGCATTTAAGCATCTGCTCCTCTGTAAGCCAGCGCAGGAGCCCAGATAGATCCGGGGAGCTGCCCCTGCCCACGGAACCAGCGGGCACTTGTGCTCTGTCCCAGCTAAGACCCTCTCCCAACTGCAAGCAGCCACGGGAGCCCACCCTCCTGAGCGTGCGAGACTCCAGCCCCGATACTGGAGAGGGACGGTCCCACAGTGCTGGTCTGGGATGGAGCGGAGTGGGAGATGTTCCCTCTCACGACTCTAAGCTGAAGCAGCTGCACAGGGACACCTCCCTGAGCTACCACCTTCCTCCACCCGCAACAGCGTTGGGTTGTGGGGACACTGTGCACAAGCAGGGCTGGTCCCCGCCATCACACCGCTGGCACTGCGCGACTTGTACGCATGTAGCATCAACGTTGCCAGGGAGCTGGACACCAGCCTCCATTCCAGCATCTCCTGCGGGGAGCTGTGGGATGGGGGTACCTCCAGCCTTCACCCCGCAGCACGGCAGCCTGTGCCCTGGGACCCAGTGCCCATCCCTGCTTCCCCGCTGGGCCCGTGCCCACCAACGCTTCGTAAGGGAGCGCATGGATGAGGCAGGCAGGATGAGGCCCTTCCCCACAGCCCGCTGCAGACAGCCCAAGGCACGGCTGTGCCAGCGCCGCACCCTGCCCGCTCTGCGGCTCCCTGCCTGGCTCCGGCAGCCCCGATCCCCCTCTCGTGCTCCATTTACAGCCAGAGCCGCTTGTGACCCCCTGGGCGAAAGCTGTGCAGAGTCAGGTGCAGCCTGCACTCAGCACCTGGGTTTCACAGAAACCCCCCAAATTTTTCCCTGCTACAGAGAAGCAGGTTCGGCACAAAATCCTGTTTTTCAAGACAGCATCAAAACCCCGCTCCTGCCCAAAGCCCCGGCTGGGCCAGGATTGCAGCTCTTTTCATGCTTTACACCCCAAAACAAGCTTGGGCAGCGTTTGCTCTCCCTCTGCTCAGCACACGTCACCCCATGAGCCCACCGAAAGGGGACAGAGAGGAGGAAGGCCACTCGCTGCTCCCTGGGATCTCCCTAAACCCCTTGCAATGGCCCTTCCCAGGGGATCTGGGTGCCAGTGACAGCAAAGCCACCCTGTGCTCCCACAGGCACCCCAGCAATGGCCCACAGAACAAGGGAGGGTCTGTGGGGTGGGGGGGTCCCGGCACCCTGCTCCCCTCCTGCGGCTGCCCGGCTGCCTCTCGGCCCCGCTTACCTCAATGGCCTTGTAGAAGATGCTGTTCCCGATCTGGACCACCTCCAGGTTCTGCTCCTGCTCATTCCGGGCACATTTGATGTAGGTCATCCAGCTGCGGTGGTCCTCCTGGCTGGCATCAATGAAGTACCGCACCGTGCCATCTTCGTTGAAGACCTGGGAGGGGGAGAGAGCGGTTGGTAGCGATGCTGCCCGCAACGGACTGAGCCCCTCCACCTCCTGCCTCTGGGATAAAGTCTCCGGCCGAGGACAAGCTCAAAGCCACCTCAGCCTCGGGGCTGAGACCCTGACTGCAGCCGGGAGCCGCTGCCTGCGGCCGGGAGCTGCCTGAACCCTTCCTGCTCATGGCGCTGGACCGCGCATCCGCAGCGGGGCTGAGGAAGGGTGCCCTGCTCTCGCTGGGCAGGCACGGCTGGCCCCACCAGCCCATGCCCACCCGGGTAACCCAGCTCCCTGCCTCGATCCCCCCTTTCGGCAGAGCCCCTCCAGCAGCTCGGCCCCGAAGGGGCTCCTCAGCCTCCTGCAGCTGCCCACAGGAGCGGGGCATCCCTGGGTGGAGGATGAAAGCGCCTGCCAGACCCAGCCCTCAGGCAAAGACGCTTGGCAGGGTGGCAGGAAAGGTGAGGCAAGTTTCTATTAGGCATAAAAATTATAATAATAATTAATAATAACTAAAAAATGCAAGTCTGACACTCAGTGGGGAAAAAAAAAAAATTAGGAAAACCCCCTCTACTAGGTGGGCATTAATGCGTGATGTCCTGGCAGCTCAGATCCCCCCGTTTGGGGGGCTTCACTCGGGGTTACCCACACCGGGGCTGGGACAAAGCGGGGGACGGGGCAGAGCTGGTTTCGCCCACCATGCACGGTGCGGGCAGCTGCCAGCCGGGTGTTTCACCACGACGGGGAAGGGCAGGGCGCGATCCTGCGGCACGGGACATGGGCAGCAGCGTTTTGGGGCTTGTCCGAGAGCTGGCTGCACCCTGAGGGCTGAAGAAGCCTTGCCCTTCTCCTGCCAGATCTTTGCGTGAACGGGGAAACTGAGGCACGGGGAGGATGCCTGACAGCACGCGGGCACAGGACAAAGCCCCCGGGCCCCAGCACCCCGTCCCTGCCTCTCCTCGGGCCAGCCGGGGCTGGGGGTACGGGGAGGGTGTCGTTACCTCCCACATGAGGTTGTTGTTCTTGCACAGGTCCACATGCTCCGGCGAGATGACCCTGCCCGTGAACGGTCCCATCTCGGTACCAGCCTTGATCCAGGTCTTGGAGAAGATGCCGAGCCCTTCCCCGGGGATGGAGCTCTGGGCGATGATCACTTCCGACGGCAGCACCAGGCTGGACAGCTTCTGCACCTCTGCGGGCGGCGGGAGCGGGCTCGGAAAAGGGACCCGCCGCCTCCCAGCCCACCGCGGGGAAGGGCCGGGGTGCCCGGGAGGGGGGGCAGCGGGGACCCCCGCCCCGGCCCCAGCCCAAATCCCGGGGCTGAGCCTTTTAAACGCCCAGCCGAGCTCCTACAAAGCGGTACAAGGTTCCCCCCCGGGGCATTGAGGAGGTACCTGGGAAAAGCAGCCCGGGCTGGGCGAGGGAGCGGGGCTGAGAAAGGGGGTTAAATGGTGTCTATTTCGGCCCATCCAGCAATTTGTCATGCTGTTAAAGTGATCTGCATTCATTAAACTCAACTAGAAAGAAATTGCTAATTCTAAATTCATTAGTCCTTTAGGAATGCTGTAGCGGTACATTGTGCCTGAATGGCGCAAGGGCTTGTTTAAAAGGGCCCAGGAATTCCTCTTACAAAATGGGGAGATGAGATGGTTGACATATCGTGAATGGAAATGGAATTAGCCTTCATGGTAAATTAAGAGAGGAACAGAAATCCGAGAGGGGGAAAAGGGAGCCGGGACGCCCCGGCGATGCCGGGGCGAGAGAAAAGATATTGTCCGGGGCGGCTGAATGCGGGGCGGCCCCGGCCCCCCCCAGCCCGCGGTTTAAGTGGGAACTTTCTCAGGTCAAGCCCAAGTTAACCAGAAAAGATATTGTCCGGGGCGGCTGAATGCGGGGCGGCCCCGGCCCCCCCCAGCCCGCGGTTTAAGTGGGGACTTTCTCAGGTCAAGCCCAAGTTAACCAAATGAATTTAAAACCCTTCTTCCCCAGTCAACTGCTATTACACGCCCGGGGGAGAGCGGGGCGGCGGGGGCCGCAG